ATGACTTTCAAGTGGGTTCCTTCTAAATCTTATTTAAAAGCCATTTTTCCACCTGTAGTAAGGTATAAAGGAAGCCTCAAGGCCTTCAATAAGCTGCGTTAGCACTGAAAGATCAGGCAGTATCTGCTTGTATTATCTGCCCAGGTCCTTAGTTTGTTTTATCTGTTTGTTTTTAAAGGGGCAGAACCACACTCAAACAGGTTCATACAGAAGCACAAACACACAGCTAGTCTCAAACTCACAGGAACCATACTGCCACAGCCTCTCAAGTTGCTAGTATTACAGACATGTGTACCCACTTCTGGCCAAGTTCCTTAAGTTTCTAGAAAAAGCACCAGACATTTATGCCCGTTATCTACTGAGACTTACACTTTATATAACTATGCCACTGTTTATGCAACTACTGTTTATAGTAGCTCGAAGGTGGAAACAGTGGAAATGTCTGTGAATTGAGGAATAGACAACAAAAGACCCACATTATACAACAGGATGCTATTCGACCTTAAAATGAAACTCTAGCACCTGCTACTACGTGGGTGAACCTTAGTGTTATTGTTAAGAGAAAAGGACAAGTATTTGGTGATTCCACCTTTGTAAGCAGGAAGAACATTCAAATTTATACAGCAAAGAAAAATAATGGGTTTTCAGAGCTAGATGGACAAGGAAATAGAAAGCCATGATTTTTATTGTTTCATGGGTACAGCATTCAGAATGTCAGTATGGGAAAAACAAAGACACTTTTACATGGTGGTGATGGACCACAATATGAATGTACTTAATGCCACAACTTCATATTTAAAATGTCTAAAGTAGTAGGTTTCACATAATTTTGCCACAGCTAGAAAAACTCCAAAATTTCAGCAGTAAAATGTAACACTATGTGTTCCTTACTAAGGAAATAACCTGGTCCTGCTGAGACCCTAATCAAAAGTGCAGATCTGGGAAGATCTCTAACTGCCTGCTGTGGTTGCTGTGATCTGTATCTCCATCTACAAGCAATGTTTCTCCAGTCAACACACTGAAAATCAGATGTGCACTTTTGTTGATGAAATTAGTGCTGTTATTTAGCCCAGTGAGCCCTTTTAGAAGCAGGCTCTCATTAGTGAAATTAAAGTATTCATTATACATGGATTCACAGAAATATATTAGAGACACTCCTATAATTGCTTGACTGAAAAACAGAACCCTGTTAATTTTATAGGCTTCACTTTCAGGAATTGTGACCTTAGCTAAGAATCCTGTGCTCAACACTGAGGAACCCTCAGTTCCTGGAATGAGCTTGATGAGTGGCAAAACACTGTGCCTGGAACTTTCATGATGGTCTTTACTGACTGTCTTGTACAGGATGCTGTTCAGAATCCTCAAACTATAGACCTAGAACACATTTAAATTTACCAAATAGTCATAAACTCTCTGCAAGTTCACTTGCTAACGAATGTTTGTTAAGTGGATGCTTTATATGTGATGATGCTTATCTGAGGCTTTGCTCATTGGACACTTAGTCATAAAATTGTCAGCTGAGTTGTAATCCTAATGTCAAAACATCCTCAGAACTGGTCACAATTGAGCTAAGAGTCACACATTACCGAATCAGTCAGCTCATGGCCACCAGTGTACAGGACAGAAAGAAATTCTAATGTCAACAGATATGAGCAATAAAACCATAAAGTATTGGCTTATCATCAGGTTGTGAGTCCTAAGAAGTCACACTGAGATAGTGTAGTTCCTTGACTTGACTTCGGAATGAAATGAAACAAAAACAAGACAAAACAACAACAAAACCCTCAGAGCACAGAGGTTCTTGATGATCTTCCCAAAGAGAAACCAAAGGGAAACTTTGATATCATGGTTACTTAGAAAACACCCACATATTGAGCAATTGTGTTGTGTCAGGCATATAATAGTTACTTTAACACATGACTGATATCACAAATATCCAGAAAAAAGTGAATACTCTGGACTTGTTTTCAGAGAGAACAACTCCATTTATATCCCATGGCCCTTAACATTCCTTATAAGAGCCTAGCTATTTGAAACACTTTCCTATAGCCATCTTGGCCATAAAAGGTACTGGAGTAATGACTGGAAATGCTAACGATAATGTCTCGGTTCAGACCTCTGCCAGAAGGAGAACTTACTCCCCTAAGATGGGATATCTCTAAGGCATGTTCTGCACTGTCTCCTGGATCCCATCAGTTATCCAATGAACAACTGGAGAAACCTGTTGACTAACATACAGGTGAGCAGCTTCTCATCTCCTCATCCCTGAGCTTCCTGGAGTCACCTTTCAGAGAATTAGAAGACAGAGGTCCTTATATTAGGAAACGGTTTGGGGGGCACACCCAGGAAAATTACAAGATCTCACATGGTAAATGCATCATACATCAGGGTGCAGAGCAAGAATGTGACCCGGATTTGGAGTCATGTACTTCTATTCTGCCTTGCTCAGTTATTTCCTCTGACTGAGCAATTACCGATAGGATAGAAGGGAAGGACTGGATGGATGATACAGAAAACCCTTAGACTGTCCTAAATGCTTTGTTTGATTAGCTTCTCAAGTCCTCATGCCCTCAGAATTGATGCTACCACTCTGCATTATGTCAATATGAAGATTATTTTAACAGGGTTCAAAAGTCTGATTAGTCACTGAAGTAGGTTCAGTAACAGTCCCCACAGCCTGTAACCCCTGAATCCATGACTGCTGCTTTATCCTTATTTGGCAAAGGGAACTTTGAAGATATTACTAAGGATTTTGAACATAGAATTATTGTGATGCCAATATCATCACAAGGATTCTTTCGGTTCCTTCCTCTGGAAGGAGTCAGAGTCTCTTGCCATGTAATAGTAAAAATGTAGCATAGACTAGAGGAAGGGACCACAGCCACAGGGAAATACATGCTAAATGCTTAGTTATAAATATATTTTAGATGCAGTTTTAATGGAGTTATGCCATATGGAGCAATAATGCTCCCTGTAACAGCCACAGACTATCTAGAAACAACCTAGTGCTAGGCAAGGGGAACCTCACTTTGAGTTGTTGTTCATGTGGGTCCAACTGACTCCTCAAACAATACAGAAAATTGCTGTTGTCTTTGGTTGCTTCCCTGAGCTTGAAGGCGAGAACTATCATTGAAGACACCACACACTTCAGACATAGGATTTGGAGGAATTGAGTTGGAACTGATCTGGAAGTCTCTTCCCTAAGAACTTGCTATCTATCAGAAAGTCATATGCAAGATCCCAAAGGAGAAAAGCAATCAATAGTCCTACCCAGCTGTAAAACCTACAAACTACAAATTATCAGCTTGCCAAGACATCACCAGTAGTGCAACAATAGCACTTTTATCTTGGGTACAACTAATAGCTGTCTAACTGGACTTAAAACCCACTCAATAGGAGGGAATAATTCATACCCAGAATGGAAAATATAACTACCTACCCATGGCTGGAGAGGCTGTATAACTTAAAGGAGAACATTCTACTTCAATTTTTGAGCAATATAGTTTCTAACTATATTCTAAGTACTTATCCTAGTACCCAGGGATAAGTGTAGTTCATAGTGTACCCCCATCAAAGAAGCTTCTTTTTTTTTTTCAGCAGATAGAATCTATTACAGAGATCCACAACCAAGCAAAATGCAAAAAATAAGTGTATGTGGGGTGCTCAGCTCCAATTGGTACATCTACAATCCAATCCCCATATTTACTGTTCAGGGAACACTGCAGAAGAGGGTGGGGTGGGGTGGGAAGATTGTAAGAGCCAGAGGACTAGAAGTCTGCTGCTAAATGGTCTCTTCCGGGCATGCTAGGGATGCTGATCCCATGAAGTCTGAACAATATGGTTGCCTAAACAAGACCTACCTAATGATACCACCAGCTGACATGCCAAAGTGCATGGGCGAAAGTTCCCAAGGTGCACACCCCGTATAAAGAGCTATAGGCAATCAAAGGCTGTAAAAAAGAGAAGAATCAGGTTTTTTTAGGGACAAGCTCTCTGATAGGTTATACATCCCCAGAAGTTCAGCCCTACACACATGCACACAAGTAACACTAAATGTATGTAGTTGGTCTGTGTGAGTGTGTGTGTGTGTGTGTGTGTGTGTGTGTGTGTGTTTTGTATGTGTGTAAAACAATAATTATAGGAAAAAGAGGTTATGAATTTGAGAAAGAGTGAAGGAACATGGGAGGAGTTAAGAAATAGAAAAGAGTAGAAATGATGTAAATATAGTACCCAATTTTGAAAGTCTAAAAAAATTAAATATTTAAATAAAAAACAAGGCAGTCATATGTCACATAATATTCTTGCAATGGCAAAGGTCATAGCTAGTGGTGGTTTCATAAGGTGTGATACAGCTAAAAAACTCTTCCTGTAACCATTTTAATGTCATAGCCTAGTCATATGTCTATGACAATGAAAATACAAGGAACCAACTGCACTGCTAGTTGCCTAAAAATAAAGCATATAAATGTGCACAGTGCATAATGACTACTGCAATGGCAAATAAAATAAAGGCAAGGAATTTTGTCCTCTAGAACCATAAAAGAACAAATTTGTGTTGTTAAAAGCCTTTAGATTTGTGGTGATTCACTACAGCGGTGACAGGAATCTGACACAGTCAGACATCGCCAGTTATGAGAACACATTGTATCTGTCACCCTTAGTATAGCTAGGCATGGTGCTGGTTGCTCTTTGTGGCCCAACTGGCCTAATTCTCCCAGCCACTTCTTGGAGAAACTACTTTTAATCTTTCCATTGTATAAATGGGGAAACTGGAATTAAGAGATAAGAAACTCCTAACAATGAGCTAATACCTGTATTGAGGCCTTTGGTACCCTAAACCATGCTCCTTATCCAAACACTGAACTATGTATTCTCAAAACTGTCCTGAAAGGGAGGGGAATAAAGGCCACTCATCGCAGTGATGCTCACCCTCAGTAATGTGGTGAATAAACAGAACTGTGCACAACACCCTTCTGAGCACAAGTCTCTTTGGTTCTCACCTTTTTAATCTCACAGAATCTCTTCCCTGTTCTCCATGTTTCTAGAAAAGGGAAGATTAAGCCAGACAGAACAGTTAGATGGAGAAAAGTTGGTAATTGGTTTTTGATGTTAATATCTTATCCTCTGTCTTCTGCAGAATCGAGCTCTCTGGCAAAACTCCCCCTGCAGCTTTCTTTGAAATCAGAAATGGGTTTGCAACCCTAGAAAGAAATATACTCCTTTTACTTTTTTTTCATTTTAAGTGTATTTTCATTTTTAAAACAAAGAAAAAGCTCAAGAGAGTGCATCATTTTTAAGGGAAACATGACATACAGTTAGATTGCGCCTCTCTAATTATGCTATACTACATACTTTGCGAGAGAAGCCAAGTACAGTTTATATACTTATTTATCCCTCTAGCATGGGCACATAAGAATGGGGGCGGTGTTTTTAACAGTCAAATGAATAAGTAATGAAATAACAAAGGGCCAAATGATCAAGGAAAGCAGTATACGAGAAAGGAGGCTAACATCTACATTTATTTATTATTGATTTATTTATCATCTTCACTTGTATATTGATGTTATTAAGAATAAGGGTGTGGGTTTTTTTTTGTCTGAAACTTTGTAAATCTACCCTTTGCTCCAAGATAGGGTGGAGGTTTCATTTTGTCTGTACCAATACTGACCTATTGGTATTCATAGCATAGATAGAGCTCTCTAAACTTATAAAGACTTAATGCTCCAATCAAGACTCAGTTTGAAAGAATCTGTGATCAATTGGTTATGTCTGCTTTGATGCAGAATAAGGGAGCTGTAAGAGTCCTGTATGTGGCTAAAATTTTCTATACAATTGATTAACTATCTGTGTAACATATTGCTCACCTTTGTTTTCAGACAATGCTATCATCTACAGAGCTATCTCCATGAATATGCAATTTCTACCTCTGCCTTTTTAGAATTTTCCTTAACATTTTAACATCAAATTATACTCTATGGTTTCAGAGATACTAAGAAACAATGACTTTAATTTGAGACAATAGTTGAATCAATGCTCACTGGATTCTCCAAAGATGAGGATTATTATATATGCCAAGAATCATTAACAGCAAGAATGTTCTTTGTTACATTCCTTAACAAGTATGGTTAAGTATGAACCAAATTCCTTTGCTGACTCAATGAATGAATAATCTGTACCTCCTATAAAAATTTAAATTAATCACATAAATTTAACAGTAAATGATTTTTAATATTTATTAATCTTAAAATAATTTTCTCACTTCTATTTGGAAATCACTAAGTTAAACAATCACTCAGTAGCTTTCATTTTTCACCAATTTCTTTCTAGGTATACACCTTACAGTCATTCTATAAACTATTTTCTCACTATATGAAAACTACTAGAATCAAAGGCCAACAACAACATGGTAATTATCAATAATAACAGTAATAATGCCATCTTTTAAATGACTCTTTGTTGATAAGTTTTTAACCTATAATGCCTTTCTTTTTATTCCATTCATGCAGTATACACACACACA